ATAAGGAATGCAGAGGAATTGGGGACTAGGGGGAACCCGCCAGCCACTGAAGCCCTGTGGCAGGAAGGTATATGTGGACATAGAGTATACCTGACTTCTCCAGCCACTAACTGCTTGGGTTGGGCTGTAAATGACAGTGGAGTGGCTGGAGTCTACTGTCATCGGAAGCTGGGGAGGGTGATGAAGGACTAGCTCACACCAGCTTGTGATATGTGCTGGATAAGGCATGACTGCCTGTTCACCCCCAGTGGGAACTGGGCAACAGGAGAGGAGCTCGTGGTCTTGTTGCCCTGTTGCTGGAACTTCTTTGACTCTCTTTCTTAATTGGTTCCTCTGTTGGGCTCAAAGGTTGGGAGTAGGAGACCCCAGGCTTAGGCATATCATTGCTTTGAGCCTGCACCCATCCTTTATCTCTGCCCTCTCAGTGGTTAATGTGTGGGAAACCATTTCATCTCTGACATAGTGCTCTTGAAAGCCAAGGATGTTAGGTGAGTGAGTGGTCTCTGCTAGGACATTGGGATCTAAGGCCTTTCTTTCCCTATCCAGTCTGGTGCCGACCATACACTGCCAGACATTGGACTCTCCCCCCGTCCCCTGCCCCTTTCCTTTCTTCGGATCACTCAGCCCTGTACTGTATCCAGCACCACAGAAACCTCAGTACTTGTCCTTTGCTGGGTTTGGGAGCACAAGGAAACGTTGGAGGTGGGAAGTTTGCTGTTACCTAGAGTTTATACCCAGGCCAGGGCTGCCTGCCTTTCCCTGGTCCTCCCCACAGACACCCCAGACAGAGGAAGCCCCTTTGACTTGGCAAGGTGAGGACTTTGTCTCAACTTAGGTTGAGGACAGTTCAGGGTGGGGGGAGGAGTTTTTCCCGGGGCGGGTGACATGTTAGGAGTTAATGTTGCAAAGAGTAGTTTACATCTTCACTTTCTGAAGACACTTGAACTTAGGACCGATGTATCTGTGACAAGCATGCCAGGAGTGGCAGGGCCATCAGGACTAGCCACTTCATACCCACCATCCTTCCATGGGGATCCAAGACCTGAAACAAAGCAACACCCTGTCCCAAATCCCTTTGTTCATTCTGCACCCTTGCAAGATTGGTCCATGCCAGCATGACCTGTGAACATCAGACACCAGAAGGTCTGCGTGCCTCTGCCCTGGTGAGGGATGGGTTTCTTGTTCACCCTCCCGTGAACCTGGGAGCAAAGGCACCACCAGTACACAGTGGCCACCAGCCTGGACCCCTGGGGCTCAGAGTGTGGTGCTGAGCCCCAATGTTAAAGTTGCTTTTTCATAGTAGCTCTTTCCTCCCTACCCTCTTTCCTTGATTTTATGACAGAAAGGAATTTAAGCTTTCTCAGAAGGCCCTGGAAGAGAGAGAGCAAGGAAGGATGGCTTAAGGAGGAGGGGTGGAGGGGTGGGGGTGGAGGAATGGCTTGCATAAAGCTTGGGTAGAGTGGTCTGCATCATCTGGCCCCACCTGAATGGGGCCTCAGTGAATCTCCTGTGTCCAGAGTCCCTGACTTTGCCCCAGCCCCTCTCTCTCCTTCAGCCATGTTGATGGCAGAGAAGATCAGAACTTATATAGCCCATTTCTCACTGGAGAAGAAAACTTGTCATCTGGCTTTGCAGAGAAGGTTCCATCTAATGCTCATAGTACATTATCTTTACCATGTGCTAGGATATCACATTTAAAAGGACAAAAAAAAAAAAATGTAAAATACTTGAATGAGCTTGTATTATAACATTAATATTATTGAGAGTATCTGCTTTCCAGGCTGAAGTGATTCATTCATTATTCTAGTCCTGCTTTAGTCCTTTGTAATTTGTGGTAATTATGCTTTTCTTTTTAATACAAAAAAATGTATAAAAATAAAAACTTGAAAAGGCAAAATATTGACTTTTCGCTCCATCTGGGTTCCAACTGTGGGGTGTGTATGGTAGAGCCCAACCAGGTTTTCTCCAGGTACAGAAGACTGCGGTGGTGTGGAAGAATCCTGCCCTGAACATACACATGGAAAACTGGCCTAGGTGCTGCCAGTCCATCTAGGCAGCTTCCTTAGCGGTGGTTAGAATTTCTGCCACCCTTGAACTCCCAATCTACATGTGTCTTGTGAAAACTGGGAGCCATAAAGTGTCACAAAAGGGACAGACACCATCCTATGTAAGAACGTTCAGGGTTTCAGCCCACTTACCCTACTCAAGCTTTCTAACTTTGTATTAGGAGCCAGGAAGAGAAGAACGTTTGTTCTGATTCCTCATAGAGACTAGTAGGTACAGCCCTTCACAGAACAGATTTTCCTGTGTGTGTGTGGGGGGGGGGGGGTTGGCGAGGGGATCTTAAGGAATTTCAGTCAGCATGAGTTCTCAGACATGAAGCGAGGGAGGGGTGGGACGCACTTAAAGAGTACAACTTTTAGTGGCTTCTTCTACCCATGAGTCAGGCACTGACAGTAGCCACATATTCAGGATGTCTGCATCCATACATCCAGGTTTATTTTCTGGCCCGCACATAATTGCAAAAAATAAGGCCTAGTTGCATTCATCTGACAACTCTCCCATGGTTAGCCTCTGAACGAATATTCAAATAGAAATGGTTTTCCACTGAGTTCCTTTACACTCGTGTTCAGATGCACAAGTACTCCGGCACTACCAGTGGCATTCATAGACCAAAGTGATAGTGTCCAGGCTCCCACAGAATGATTGTAAATGGGTACTTTGGGAGCAGAAGACTTGAGCTGATTTCCACCTAACTTCCATGCCTGTTGGGATTACTCGTGAAAGAGCCACCGATGTAACTGAGATGTCATGTTTTTGAGTATTGGGATTAGTTATAAAGGAGTGGGGGTGCAAATATAATATGTAATAAAGTTAAAAGTGTTAACAGGATTCCTTTTTTCATATTTTTGCTGGGAATTCCAAAGCCTCAGCCTTTTCCTCATGATTATCTGTATACCCACCTCAGCTATTCTTGCGTGATACAGAAGAAATAGTCAGGGCCCACTATCCATGTCAAGCTGTCCTCCACACCTGCATCCATTCTCTTCCTTACCCGTGCTCTCATTCCCGGCCCTTTGTGAATAAACCAAAGAATGACTTTTTAAAACCAAATGTTTATTAGTAGAAATGATTAATGTATGTAGGCAGCACAAGCTATCCTAGGGCAGAGGGCCTGGGTCCACCAAGGCCTGTGGTTGAAGGCAGAGCACAGAGCTTTGGAAGGCACCGCTTGGTGTTGCACCCATTTGCCATACTGAGCAGGCCCTTCAGGGTCTATTTTGATGGTTCTGCCTGGAGACTTGGCCCTATCAAAGTTACAATGTTTTATTAAAATTGTAAGTGCTGTTGAGTCCGTTCTAACTCGGCAGCCCTGTGTAGCGTTTCCAAGGAGTGGCTAGTGGGTTTATACCTTGTGGATAGCCATCCAGATCCACACCAGGGCTCCATTTGGAAAAGGTGCCGCTGCTAAAATCACAAAACATGCACTTGAGACACTGGTTAATCACTTGGAATGTATGTGTGAGAGGACTATGTCTTTTAATGAGTTCCCAGGGAAAGAGGGGGTATGGAAAAGAGTTCTGAACTATGTGGTCCTGCTTCATAATGGCCAATAAAAGGAACCTCAGTTGGATATCTCCAGAGGCCAGCAACTCTGACCCCTTTATGTATTAAAAGACCCTAACTTAGACCCGCGGGGCTCAGCCTTTCATTTCTGTGTAAGGCTAAAGTGATTCTGGTCTATACCTCTTTGTTACTTGTTTTACTCCAAGGCAGAGCTCCTGAGACCGACTGGTATTTTTAGAGGGGGAAGAAGTTTGTGGTGAGGAGTTAAGATATGGCCTTCATTGCTGAGAAGACTATTTGGGGGCAGTGAAGGATATGGGGCATGTTAAGAACTGAGACCCTGTAACCATTTGCCAGGGTGCCCTGGCCTGAGTAGGACATAAAAACTTTGTGGTACAAGGTGATTTAAAACCCAGCCACTGGCACTGAAAGGAGCTCTCCCAGCTACTTTTATCATCTTTTATCTCTTGCTAGGCCACAAAGGAAGGAGCTCTGTAGCGTAGTGGTTACAAATCGGGCTGCGAACCGCAAGGTCAGCAGTTTGAAACTACCAGTTCCACGGGAGAAAGATGAGGCTTTCTGCTCCCATAAAGATTTATGGCCTCGGAAACCCTGTACAGGGTCGCTATGAGTCGGAACCAACTTAACGGCACATTGAGTCTGATCTGACTCTCTGACCCTGTGTAGGATTTCCAAAGAGCAGCTGGTGAATTTGAGCTGCTGACCTTGTGGTACAGTGCTAAGTAAGTGCTGAGTTAGTTCCAACTCAGAGACCTTTTAGAGGGCTCTCCCAGGCTGTAAATCTTAGGGAGCAGAAAGCCTTATTCTCCAAATGAGAAGCAGCTGGTGTGCTCAATCCACCAACCTGTGGTTAGCAGTCTAGCCACATAACAAACACTAATACTTACACACTGTCGTTAGTGCCATTGAGTCATTTCAGACTCATTGTGACCCTGTGTAGGGTTTCCAGGGAGCGGCTGGTGAGTTTGGACCACTGACCTTGTGGTCTAGTACTTAATCCCACAGTGCTACACCATTAGAAATGATTTGGTAAATACACAGTGTAGGTCACAGGGACTGAGACTGGCAACAAAACTCACGTGCTCACTGCAGAACACTGCAGTGTGTTTTTGCTTTTCACCTCCTCACCCCCATCAGAAGTGGGAAACTCTTCTAGTTTAATCCAGTGACAACAGGTATTAATTAACGTAGGTCTTTCCTAAAAGCAAAGTGACAAAGCAAACTGGGAAAGCTAGGGCTAACAGCTTCAGGGACATTCCTTTGGGGGAGCCCTGGCCCCTTCCCTATAAATACTCATGATGCTGATAATAGAGTGCATGGGTATAGGAGAAAGTTGTCAGATGCAATCATTAGGACTCGGGCCACCTTGGCAGTCCACTGCAGAGGGGACAGCAAGGATGGCACTGGGTCCCTCACTCCATCTTCTTTGGAGAATCAGGAATGCTCTCCGAGAGCGGGGTGAAACTCAGCAAGAGGACGTGTCTTTCATATGCTTTGGTCTGCTTAAACATGGTGTCGGTTCCATGGAGATGGTCTAGCACCCCCAGCACCCCATAGCACTGGTTGAACCTGGCAGAGAGAAGAGAGGGCTGCAGTCCTGGTGCTGGAAGTTGTGTGCCGGTCTCCATTTCATTTGTGGAACTTCGCATTCATTTCTAAGGCCTTTTACCCAACTCGTCTCCCACCATCCTGTCCCCCTGCATCAGAATAACCCCGGGAGCTATTAAAAGGGGCTAACCCTTGGGGCTACTCCAGAGCTGCTTAAGTCTAGAGTCTTCCTCTGAAACATTCCCCAGGTGATTCTGACAGAGCTAAACTTGTTTATCTCAGAACACTGATTGGAATGCTGGTTTCCTACCCTCCTGATGTTTGATCCAGAGCTGCCATTTTAAATCATCTCAGGTGATACATTGACCACACCTGAAAAGGCCTGGTGGCTTTCGGAAAGTGCAATAATTGCTTGAAAGGCATGCAAGCCTTTCCTAGATCTATGCATTTACCTGAGGAGAGTAACCATAGTTTACTTTAGATACTCAAAAGGGTCCCAAACCCACATAAAGATTAAGAGCCCAGTTACTGGAGGAGCCAAGTCAGAAATCGGGGGGAACGGTAAGGTGGTCTGTGAGCAGTGTGGTTATTTTTTTCACCACCAAGATGCCTTCTCACTAGCACCACTGTCTGCCATCAGAAGCCTGAGGAGTGAGGGTGGTCGCTGTTGGCCAGGGACACATGGTGGGGAGGGGGCCTTACTTGAGATGGTGGTAGTCGTGGAATTCAGGTGAAGGCAGAAAAGGTAGGTGGTAGCCGCAGTGAGATATGGTGGTGATGATGAGCGCTATGGAGAACCAGATGGTGATGGAGGACAAGTGAGAGCCCATTATGATGGGACCCAGCAGTGCTGGCAGCATGTTGGAGACCTGCAAGGGAAGAGATGATTGAAGGCAGAACCCACTTGGGTGGTACAGAAAGACTTCCTTGACACAATCTGAAGAACCTGAGAGGCTTTCAGAACACTGGTTTGCTGGAGACTTGTTAAGCCTTTACTCTGGACCAGTTTTTAACTGCATGAGCCTCAACTTTCTCATTAGGATAATGAGAAATAAAAATGTTTCGGGGAGGATTAAATGAGATAACCTGACACCTCGCATAGTCTAACATATGGTATGTCATAAATGGCAACTTGGTTGAAAGAGTAAACCGCCAAGGAAAAAAGCGGTCCTCTACCTTACACCTTTGGGGAAGAGGGGAGTGCTACTCACCACATGCTCTATAGGGTGGGCATAGAGAGAGATCACACCAATGGGAGCTGTCCATTCATGGTGTTTCTTGTGGATCTTCTTATAGAATGCTGGGTGGTGCAGGAGCCTGGAACATGGAGGAAAATAATGCATCTATCTGCCAGCCCTCACCCCTTGTTACACTGTAAACAACCAGATTACTCAAACCTGTCTTGAGCACTGGGCCCCACTTTTTCAGCTACCTAATTTTGGGGTTAAGTGGCCAATGTAGTTCAGATGTATCTGCTGTAAAGTGAAGATGGGGCCCAGAAAGAATTTAATAAGGAAATGCTTAGGGAACTGCCCTGCCTCACACGAATGGAGAAGGCTCTTTATTTTCCAGGCATTTCTCAAAACAGTTTCCTCCTTGTTAACTATGTAATGGGAGGCATAGGAAGGAGCCCATGGAATATTGGTCCTACACCTACAATTCAGAGGTTTCAGAGTGCTCATTTCTCAGTGAGTCTATGGGTGGCTGTGCTCACCGGTGTGAGTAGTAGAAAAGGATTTCTTCAATCAGGGTGAAGATCGCCAGCTCCAGGAGAAACCAGTGGAAGGTGGGTAGCTCTCGGCGGCAAGGGTCTCCCCGCCACTTGAGGAGGGGGTAAAGGAAGATCACAATGGGGAGAGAAAGCATGTACTGGTTGAAGAGAACTGTGTGGATGGCCTGGCGTAGTTTCGTGGCGTCCACCTGCCCAAGGGAAGGAAGGAAGGAAATGGGTAAGAGTATGAGAAGTCTAAAAAATTGCCTCCATTGTGACCTGCTCTCACTTGGTTTGGATGCTGGGAGAGATGCCTGGTCATCACCGACAGCCCTTGATTGCCACCCAACTCTAGTTTGACTGTTGTTGTGCTGTCAAGTCGATTCTGACCCATAGCGACCCTGTACAGGGTTTCCGAGGCTATAAATCTTTACAGGAGCAGAAAGCCTCATCTTTCTCCAGACTGTTCAGTATTTGGAAATTCCCCTCCCAGCAGCCTTCAGTCTCTTCCTGAGCCTGGCTTCTTCCTCTTGGTTCTGCATATATTACCATTCTCCTCATTTCTCTGATGAGATGAGAGCAGAGATGGAAGTTGAAGAAGATTGTGACCCCTCAAACTGATACCACAATTTACCCCTCTATCCCCTCCAGATTCAGACATAAAGGTTCTCTGCCACCTCATGTGGTCCCGCTCATTGGACTAGTCCCAGCATAAAGAAGGTCGGACTAACTTCCTGAGCTGGTGTTCCTGGTTTTCAAAATGGAACTGCCAGGATGGTGGGAGGCTGCCTAACTCTCTCCCCAGGGTTGAGAGCTGGTCCCATCTGTTCTACTGGACCTCAATAGTGCCACCTGCATCGCCCCAGGCATCAGTTACCACCAGCTTCTGTCAACACTGGGACTTAAGAGAATCACCTCACTTCCTGGATCCTGATGAACTTGTTTAGAACAGGTCAGGAGTGATTTCTCCCCAAGTTCCAATGGCAAGCTGGTAGGGTTTCTGCCCCAAGATGGGTTTAGTTTCAGAGTGGTCCCAGACTTGATGCCTTTCTCTTCCACTAGCCTTTCCAGGCACTGCATGTGTTAACTGACCGAAGAATTTAGTCTTCATACTTTCAGATCCATTCTATTGTCTGGCCAGCCTGGTGTGAGAGACATGTAAGCCGAGGCCATACACTTCTAGAAAACTTGACCAAGATGGGAAGTTGTATTTGTTTTTGTTTGTTTACTTATTCAATGACATTCGAATGCCCATTCAATGTCTGTAGCAGGCAGTGTTCTCAATGCTGGGAATAGAGCAATGAACAATACAAAGATTCTTTAGTCCATGTGGAGTTTACAGTCCACTGGGAACAGCAGATATAAAAACAAATACTTTTAAAAGTACATAATAAAGAGAAATTCTTGTAGCAAGTTCTGATGCATGCTAAAATGTGGAAGAACCATGGAAACAACTGAGTGAAATATTTTTCACAAAAGGACAAATACATGATCCCACCTAACAAGAAATATCTAGAAGAGGCAAGTATACACTTGATGAAGGATGAAGGACTAAAAGTTTAAGAGAAAGGAATAGGAAAACAATACTTAGGGGATGCTGAGCTTCTGCTACCAAAAACCCATCACCTTTCCAACTCAACAACCTGATGAAAACTAACCCATAAGAGTTCAAAGACTAAATCTTTACAGAAGCAGACTGCCAACATCTTTCTCCCATGTGGCAGCTACGGGGATTGAACTACCAACCTTTGGCTTAGCACATAATTACTGCACCATCAAGGATCCTAAGTTTCTGTTAGGGTGATGGAAAAATATGGGAACTGTTAACGGTGATGCAAGAATAACATGATGAATAATGACACTGAACTGTACATGCAAAAAACTATAGAAATGGCAAATGTTGAGTTGCCTATATATTTACCACAACTAAATATATTTATAAAATATATAAGGGGGCTTCAAAAAGTTCCTGAAAACACAAAATTGAATGATAATCAAATTTTTCCATAAACTTTTTGAAGTCCCCTCATGTTGTTGCTAATAGCCATTGATTGGTTCCAACTCCCAGTGACCCTGTATAGGGTTTCCGAGGAGCAGCTGGTGGGCTTGAACTGCCTATCTTGTGGTTCACAGTCCAGTGTTGATCCTCCAGCACCACACCACAAGTCTTCATACTAGGAGGGGTTATATGCTTTAAAATTGCACTAATACAGGCAAGAAGATGATGGTGGGTGTGGACCACAGTGCTAGCAATAGAGGTGAGAATTGGTTGGATTCTGGATCTATTTTGAAAACAGCCAACAAGGTTACCGGATGGATTGGATTTGATATATAAAAGAATGAAGTGGAAAGGATGATTCTAGAATTTTTGGCCTGAGAAACTAGAGGGGTTAAAACTGCTGTCAACTCAGATTACAGGGACTACACATGGTAAAGACTTGTGGGAAGAATCAAGTTCCCTTTTGGACATATTATTGAATTGGAGATGTCCACTACATAGCCATGTGGACACATCAAATAGACAGTTGAGTATTTGAGCCCAGTGTTCAGGAGACATAAATTTGAGAATTGTTGGCATATACATTGTAAATGTCATTACACTGGAAGAGAGAACCAAGGGAATGAAGACAGAAGAGGCCTGAGCCTTGGGGCACTCAACATTGAGAGGCTGGGAAGAACAACCAATAAATAAGACTGGAAAGGAATGACCAGTAAAGTAGGAGAATGAGTTGTCTTGGAAACTACATTAAGGATGAAGGACAGAGCAACTGGGAAAATGCTCCTGGGGCCTAATAAAACAGGGACTTGAGAACTGATCAGTGCTGACCTTGCCGGGAACAAGTTTTGATAGAGTGATGAGGCTGGAGGCCTGACTGGAGCAACATTAACAGAGAAGGAAACACAGTGGTTTTATGGTTACTTTAGGAAATACAGGCTGCAGTACTATGAGGTAAAGTCTTATGATGTCTGGAACTTACTTTGAAATAGTAAAGCAAAAAATTAGACATATATTTATGTTTTTCTCTACGTTGTTGTTAGCTACCATTGACTCAGCACCCAGCTCATGGTGACTGCACAAAGGAACAAATTTGCTGTGTGGCCCTGAGCCATTCTCATAATCAGCTGCAGACCGAAGAGTGTTAAAGCAAATATGGTAAAATGTTAACAGTTGATACCTCTAGCTGGTGGGTAAATGAGTGACCACTGTACTATTTCTTTCAATTTTTCTGTTATGTTTGCAACTTTTCATAATTATAAAATGCTGGGGAAAAGGAAGAGGAATTCGAGACTGTGTAGACACCTCTTTTGAAGAGCTTTGCTGGAAAGGAGAACAAAAATACAGGCATTAGTGGGTATGGAAAATGAAGCCAAGGTTTTGTTTTGTTTTAAAATGTGGAAAATCACAGCATGTTTATAATAATCCTAAAGAGAGCAAAAGGAAAAAAAAAAAAAAAAAGGAAGAAGAAAGAGAAGGGAAATTAGCTGGAACAATTAATTTCCTGAGTAGGCAAGAGGTGATGGGGTCAGATAGAAGCAAGGGAGAATTTACCTGTGGCATCAGGTGAGAAGGCAGAGTACGTGGTAGGTGGGAATGGTGGGAATGTGTGAAACCTTAAATTTTCTTAGCTAAAGTAGGAGCACTGTCTGCTTCTAAAGAGTGACAAATCTTAGAAACCCTGTGGAGCAGTTCTCTGTCCTAGAAGGTTGCTGAGTCAGAATGAACTCAATGGCAGTGGGTTAAGTAGGCACAAAGTCATCCTTTGAGAGGGAGGCTAGGAGAGGAAGTGTTGGGGTTTTGAGGAGTAAAGAGAAGGTGTGATCCAGTCATCCATAAGAGTAGGAGAGTAAACAGATCAGGGGTATACGGTATGATACCAAGCACATTCAGATCCCATTTGAGGGTCTGTTCCTCATGTCTTAGACCAGGAGACAGTCCTTCCTGGAGATGGCCAAAGACTAAATGGCCCGGAGGATTCCTCCAACGTGGATGTCTACCTGAAGGTGCCTATAGTGTAAAAGCGCTGGACTTGGAGTCAGTTGAGATGAATCCTGGTTTTGTTTCCTAGTAACAGTATAACCTTGAGCTACCTACTTCATCTTTCTGATCCTCAGTTTCTCCAAAATGCAACAAGACCTTTCTGTACACTGTGAGGTGTAATAGATGCTGAGTAATATTCTTGAGAGCTCTTGTAGTCTAGTGGTCAGAACCCTAGAGTTCAGAAAGGCCTGAGTTTGACACATCTCTAAGCCTCCATTTCTTTTTCTGAACAATGAAGGTGATTATAGAACTTAGCCTTGAAGAGGTATGCATTCAGTCAATGATGGCTGCTAAGGAGACCACTGTGGTCTGACAAAAAGGACTATCAAGGGCCACACAAAGGCTTTGTCATGTGAGTCCCCAGTCCCTGTCTTGCTAAGCTGGGCCTTAAGGAAGCTCTTTCCGGCTGACTGGCAGCTGTTGTCTTAAGTGAAAGGAACCATGAGCCAGACCAGCAATTAGTTTAAGGAGCCATTACAAAGCCCTGAGAGCTGAGCGGGCTCACCCATCTACTGGAGATAGATGATTAAAATGAAATACTAAATATTTTTCCTAGGAAAGAAGTTGGGAGGTGGTTTAGATGGAGCTGTGGAAAGAATCTGGGATTTAGAATCAGCGTCTTCCCTGTTGTTTAAGACTTCTGGATATTGTCAGGGCACCAAGCAGGTGGTGGGTCTCAGAGAGCAGTGGGCTCACCTTTAGGTACAGTGCAAGTAGATACATGGATTGGCTGTTGTTAGTTGGCATCGAGGTGGCTCCAATTCATAGTGAGCATGTGTATAACAGAACAAAACTCTGCCTGGTGCTTAAAAAACCTTACAGTTGAGCCCATTAGTGTAGCCAAGGTGTCTATCTTGTAGGTCTTTCTCTTTTTCACTGACCCTCTACTTCACCATGCAAGATGTCCTTCTCCTGGTCCCACCTTATCACGTGTCCAAAGTATATGAGATGAAGTCTCACCATTCTCGCTTCTAAAGAGCATTCTAAATGGACTTTTTCCAACACAGATTTGTTTGTTCTTCTAGCAGTCCATGGTATTTTCAATATTCTTCCCCAACACCATAATTCAGAAGCGCCCATTCTTTTTCTTTTTCAGTCTTCCTTATTTATTGTTCAGTTTCTGCATGCATATGAAGTGATTGAAAATACCATGACTTGGGTCAGGTGTACCTTAGTCTTCAAAGTGATATCTCTGCTTTTTAACACTTTGGAAATATTTTGCAACAGGTTTGCCCAATGCAATATTGTTGTTGTTAAGTGCCATCGAGTTGGTTCTGACCCATAGCAATGCTGTGTGGGTTTCCAAGGAGCAGCTAGTGAGCTTGAACTGCCGACCTTGCGGTTCAAACTGACTTTGTAGTCCAGCACATTAATCCACAGCACCACACCTGACTGCTGCCTCCATGGGCTTTGGTTATGAATCCAAAAGGAAAACGGAACCCTTGACAACTTCAACTTTTTCTCCGTTTATCATCATACTTGCTTATGGGCCCATTTGGGAGGATTTTTGTTTGAGGTGTAATCCCTATTGAAGGCTCTAGTCTACTCCCCTGCTGGCTAGGACACCTTTGTAAGCAAATCCTGGGTCTTAGTTATCCTGTATCTGCAGCTGTCCATTGTACTGTGGGTTGACCTAAATAACTGGAAAGCAGGGTCAACTCAAAATGCCCCCAACACTATACATTCAGAATCCAACCACCCATTGAATATGGAAAGGCCATCTAGTGTTTCAGCAGCTGTGCCCTGGCTGCCTTAGGACAACAGCTGTTATCCAGATTTAAGCATCCAGTGGGTGCCACTGCTGTCTCAGTCTCCTGGATAAAGGGGAGCTAGCTACCTGAGTCCAGCATATATGGTAAGCACTGGACTGTAAGGTCGGTTTGAACTACAAGGCCATCGGTTCAAACTCACTAGTTGCATCTTGGAAACCCTATACAGGATGGCTATGAGTTGGACCCAACTCCAGGGCACTTAACAACAACAACAAGCTACCTGATATCTGGGGACTCAGCCCAGAGCCAGACCAAGGCAATCACCTATGTTTCTAAAATGCTGGCCGCAGTTACTGGGGTAGCAGACAGGCACAGAGCCTGGGACAGTAATCAGGAGACCACACAGTCTTGATTGGCCACCAGCTGGCTCGGAGATGTTCAGCAATATTCAACAAATTATTCTCTCTCTCTAAGCTTCTAAATTTGGGGGAACCTTGTATAAGACACATCCCTGTGTAATGCAAGTGGTCAACACATTCAACTAAAAAAGGTTAGAGGTCAGTGTTCATCCTCAGGTGTCTCAGAAAAAAGGCCTAGTGATTTACTTCCAAGAAATCAACCATTGAAAACTCTGTGAAACAGTTCTCTCCAACTCACATGGACTTGCCATCGGTTGGGATTGACTTGGAAACTGATGATGTAGATAATAACGTGGTCCACTCTGTTCCTGATCTCTCCTGGGCTAATGGTATTTTGAGACTTGGACATTTGCTTTCTTGTTTTGACCAGAAAAACCGCAGCAACACTTACCGGTTCATTCTTGCCAATCTGAATTCGGTAGCGAGAGATAAAGTTAGGTTTTCCAGTTGTGTCAACCACAAGTAAAACCCCATTGAAGGCCCAGAAGAGCAGAGCTGGCACTTGGGTGGTACCTGAGGTTGAGAAATAGAAGGGAGCAATCAGGACTTTCGGTTCTCACAGTATCAACTGAGCATTTTCCAGGGTAACTGAAGACATTGCCTTGCCAGGAGGTGCTAGTGCTCTGGATTGGGGGCCTACCTCTAGTTTCAGAACTTGGACACATCACCTAAGAAGGATCTCCAACTGTAAAATGGGGACAGCCTGTTTCAAGGTTGTTGTTGTTAAGTGCCATGGAGTCGGTTCTGACTCCATAGCAACCCTGAACAGGGTTTCTGAGGCTGTAAATCTTTACAGGAGCAGAAAGCCTTACCTTTCTCCCAATGAGCAGCTTGTAGTTTCAAACTGCTGACCTTATGGTTCGCAGCCCAGATCATAACCACTACGCTACCAGAGCTCCGTCCTTTGTGGCCTAGCAAGGGATAAAGGATGATAAAGGTAGCTGGAAGAACTCCTTTCAGTACCAGGGGCTGGGCAAAAATAGACGGTAATATGTTGAGATAAATGATACACCCTAACATATAAATGAATTTAGGTTAATGTTAGAAGTCCTGGGGTGGGCCAAATGGCTAAGTGCTCAATGACTTGGTGGTTTGAACCCACCCAGAGGCTCCTTGGGTGACAGGCCTGATGATCTACTTCTGAAAGTTCATAGCCTTGACAAGTGTGGAGCAGTTCTATTCTGCACACATGGGGTCGCAGAATCAATTTGACAGCACTCTGTTAGCGTAGTGGTTATGAATCAGGCTGCTAACCTCAGCGTCAGCAGTTCAAAACCACCCGCTGTTCTGCCGGAACCGACTCCATGGCACATAACAACAACAGGTTGTTGTTTGGAGGTTTGTGCCCATTGAACCTTTTTTGAATTATCAAGGAAGGGAAATACAAAGGAAGTGCTTGATATGGTTCAAAATGAGCACTGGACTAGGAGTCAGTTAAGAAACCTAAGCCCTCAACACAATATATGCACACCAATGTTCATAGCAGCACTATTTACAATAGTAAAGAGATGGAGACAGCCAAAGTGTCCATCAACTGAAGAATGGATAAACAAATTGTGATACATACACACAATGGAATATTATGCTACCTTGAAGAATAACAAGGAAGCTGCAAACCACCAGATAACATGGATGAACCTTGAGGACATTATGTTGAGTGAAATTAGTCAGTCACAAAAAGAGAAATACTGCATAGGACCACTACTGTAAAAGACTAAGAAAAAGAACCCATACTAAAGGGGGGGGGGGGAATTCTTTGCTGATTGCTGGGATGTAGGAGGTGGGGCGAGGGGAGGGATGGGAAGGTATAGCACAGGGCAGGGAATAGACACAGGTTAGTTAAGGTGCTGGGGAGGGGGACAATACACAAAATGGGAGAGGGGAAATGGAAGAACAAAGCAGAGGGGAGAACAAATAGGCAGGTTCGCATGGGCTAAGTGGGACAGAGGTAAATAATAAGGTACACACAATCTTGGAACTACAGGGCTCTGGGATACAAAGATTGAGATATGGTTAGAATAGGGAAAAAGGGGGAAATATTGTTAAGATGCTTGGCGGTCTACTGAATCTTGGTATTCCTTGCATTATATTATAAAATAGACACTGGAAGGGTAGAGAAAGGAAAAGCCAGAAATATCACCATAGAAAGCTTGTAAGTCCGTCTTCTGCCTATAACTGATTGGAATACCTAAAAAGGGGATACAACGTGCCCAGTGAAGGAGGCTGCCTGCGGAGCCTCTGCATTACGTAAGACTATAGGTGGAATCCTGAACAGCATCCAGAATCTTCAGAGGTGGGAAATTTCCCCCTGAAAGGATGGGCAGACCAGCCTGGAGCAGCTGGAAGAACAGAAGATACCTCTTGAAAGAAGGACTGACAGAAAAAACACAAAACAATAGAGGCAGACTGACCAATTACTATAAGAGCAAGCAAGTTGCCCGCCCAGGAGACATCAAGGCAAGGAGTCGGGTCCCTGCAGAGTAAATCCTCTTATAAGACTAAGACTCAATGGGAATACACGCTCTGATGGGTGACCACATTCGCCGCCAACAGGGGAAAGTGAGGGAAAAACAGCTATAAGGCTGCGAGCTAAGCCCTACAATGGTCAATAGACTCCTATGAACCCAGGTGGGCCCAGAGTCAGTGAGACAGCCATGGAGGACTGGAATGGAGGGTGAAGTGTCCAGTGGATAAGAAGAGAGGGCATATCCACAAGAGCACCCACGCATGCAGATAATACCCACTTGACCTAGCCTCAATGAGTGGGTGATCAGAGCTCAACTAGAAGAAGAAAGAAGAGGAAAAAAAAAA